CACCAGGGATTGTAGTAACCACAGGACCATTGCTTTAATTTCCCATGCAAGCAAAGTGATGCTCAAAATTTTACAACAAAGACTTTTACCATATACGGTGCAAGAAATGCCAGATGTCCATGCTGGGTTCAGGCAAGGAAGAAGCATTAGGGATCATGTTGCAAAGATATGTTGGGTGATGGAGTACACCAAAGAATTTCAGAAGAAAAATCAGCCTATGCTTTATAGATTATAGCAAAATCTTTGATTGTATCTATTAAAAACTATGGATCACTCTTAAAAGAAATGGGATGTGCCACAATATTTAATTGCCCTGATGCATCAGGACAAGAGGCTACTGTTACGACAGAATACGGAGAAACAGAATGGTTTCCCATTGGCAAGGGAATCAAGCAAGGGTGCATCTTATCACGCTATCTGTTTAATTTGTATACTGAAAGTATCATAAGTAAAGAAGGATTAGACTTGAAGGAAATATGAAAATTGGAGGAAGGAACATCAATAATTTAAGATATGCAGATATACTACTAGGAGAAAATAGCAAAGACTTAGAATGATTAGTGAAGAAAGTCAAGGAAGAAAGTGCAGAAGCAGATTTACATTTGAACATTAAGAAAACAAATATAATAACCACAGATGATTTACAGCCTGCCCGCCTCAACCACAGGCTTGCCATCCATGGATTTAAGCATCTGCAAACAGCAAGCCCCATTACTCCTAATGACCATATGTGCACATGTATGTGCACATGTATGTGGCAAAGTAGCCATACGCATGTGCATGGTCATCAAAAACCAAGGGATTTGAGGTCCCACAATTTTTTGCATCCACAGGGTGGGGGGTGGAACAGAACCCCCACAAATACTAAGGGCCAACTATACATAACTTTGAAGGTAATGAAGGCATTGAAACAGATTTTCCATACCTTTGCTCAGTCATTAATCAGGATGGAGACTGTAGTCAAGAAATCAGAAGAAGACTAGGACTTTGAAGGACAGCTATGAAAGAACTAGACAATATCCTAAATATCCTAAAGTGTGAAGAAGTACCATTAAATGCTACAGTTAGGATGATCCATGCCATCATATTTCTGATTTCTCTGTATGGTTGTGAAATCTAGACAATGAAGAAAGCTGATAGGAAGAAAATCAACTATTTGAAATGTAATGCTGGAGAAGACTTCTATGGATATTGTGGGCTGCTAAAAAGAAATAATAAATGGGTCCTAAAGCAAACCATGCCTGAACTCTCCCTACAAATCAGGATGACTAGAACTGAAACTGTCATACCTTGGACATACCATGAGAAGGCATGATTCACTAGAAAAGACAATGAAGCTTGGTAGAGTAGAAGGCAGTAGGAAAAGAGGAAGAACGCATTCCAGATGGAATGGCCCTGAGTCTGCAAGGCAGGAGTAGGGCTGTTGATGATAGGGTTACTTGGAGGTCTTTCAATCATGGGATCGCCATGAGTCAAAGTCAACTTGATGGCAACAAAGAACAGCAACAAAGTTCTGTTCTCTAGTGCAGTATTTTATTGATGCTCCAAAATGCATAGGCCTAAACACAAATGTTTGTCCAAACTAGGCAGACCTACTAAATCAATGGAAAAGTATTAAGTCAAGACTTACTTAAATTCCTTTGATTTAGTTGGTCTCCTCTAGTTAAGAATAATATTTGATTACAGGCAAATTTGAACACAAATTCTGCAT